GGTTCAGGGTCGGTTTACCTCACCGAAAGAGATTCCGTCCTTCGGCGTAGCCTCATTCGGGTTCCTCCCCGCCCGAAGGCAGAGAGTTCAAGCGATCAGCCAGTCAGTCGGTCGTCCGCCTTCAGACTGAACGGTAGTTAGTCACCCCCCCCCACGAAGGAATCATGTGGCACAAGGCCGGTTTAACGTGGGATCTCCGAACCCATTGGCTCGGCCAAAAATATGCCCTTTTGAACCCGTATAAACGGGTTCAGGGTCGGTTTACATCCCCGAAAGAGACCCCACCCTTCGGCGCAGCCTCGTTCGGGTTCCTTCCCGCCCAAAGGCAGAGAGTTCAACCGATCAGCCGAGCAGCCGGTCGTCCGACTTAGGGCTGAACTTCATGCTTCCGCTTGAGGCGCAGTATTTATTACGTATGGAATAGTCCATTACGTTATTATGGGTAAGGTCTCATAACACTTAGTATAGCCTGGTACAAGGCCGCAGGTTTTGGGCATTCAGTTGAGTTTCAGTACCTCAAGAACCAAGCTTTTATCATTTCATTATCTCTAATCAGATCCCAATGAGAGTTCCCATTTTGAACGTCCATTGGGATTCAAGGTCACTCCAGGCCTCGAATGGAACTCATGGATTCGTTGCTAAAGATGTTGGAAATATGGCCGTCTTATTTTATCGCTCTAGTAGTTATCTTTACAAGAATTAGATGAGATTAAAAATGGAATATTGCTGTCGAATCTGGTCTGAAGCTGCTCAATCTTCCTTTTTACCTTGATTACGTGGTCTTGTGTGGAGAGAGTTACTTTCTACTCTGCAGTGTCTTTCCCACAGATACAAAGTTGAAAGCTACTTCATCGCTGCTTCCATAGCAAATGTTCAGATAAGCTCCATTTTTTAGTTGCACCTGTCCAGAACTTTGCAACTAGGACACGCCATGCTACTTTCACAGAACCGAATCATCTCCATTTCCTCTATGTTCCGAATCTGAGATGAAAGTTTCAATTAGTTTTTTTCCTCTAAGAATGGCAATTATATGGAACAAACTCCCCCCCACTAACTGCTTCTCTGAACACTTCATTTTTGGCCCTTTCATTTTTAAACCTTTCATTTTTGACCCCTTTATTTTTGACCCCATCATGTTTGACCCCTTCATTTTTGAACCCTTCATTTTTGAACCCTTCATTTTTGACCCCCCACTTCAAGTCAAGTAACAGTGATTATCTTTTCTCCTTGTCCTCATAAACTTCATTTCCTACCAACCCCCCTTTCACTCATATCGCACACCATTAATTAAAACTATTTTAACAGTAGCCCTCTATATTGAAAGGCTCCCGAGCTTTGTATTGGGAGAACTTTAGTATAAAAATTAATTCTTTGAAGCGTATTTCCTTTTTATCCATTTTGAAATGTTCCACCATCTGTTGATCATCTTGAGCATTTAGGACTCAGTATCAACCTTTTTTTACTCCCAGGTTTAAAAAAAAAAGTTGGTATTAAAAATGACCCCCCCCCACCGCCACAGCGACACCAACACTTCAAAAGTGAAAGGAAAATTAATCCACAATACTTCAAAGTGTTAAACAAGTCAAAACTTTTATTCCCTCAAATGATTACGGACAAAATGACAACAAATACTGGATTGTGTGGGAACAAAGGAAATAATGATGACATTTGACCCCAGGTTTGAGATAATCCTACCCCTAACCTACCCATTGATTCTGCTGTTTCTCTTCTATTCGTCACTTTAGCTTCAATCAGATTTTTTTTTATAAACAATATATTTTGAACGCCAGGGAAAAAAAAAAATGAAATACGAATTTTGTAATTTGGGGGCGCAAAATTTGTTTGGGTTTATTTCAGGTTTTAACATGTTAAGCACTGAATATCGGGAAGAAACGGATTACAGGTGTTCAGAAATGGATGCAAACCATACTGAGGAAGATGTACAGGTAGTCTAAAGGTTATCGGCGCTGAAGAAATTCAAAGTTCTCACCTTGTCTCTTTCGCTAACTTTCAAACAAATCCACGTGGGAAAGGCATGGCTACGTCTCTTCTTTCTCCTAGCTATGATTTAAATAACAGAGCAGACTGGGTTCTTTAGCCTTGAGTGGGCAGCTAATCTGCGAGAAAGACTGAGCTGGATTCCAAACTACAGAGAAAGAAATGCGGAAACCACTCCACTATCTTTCCCCCCCAAATCATGACAATTAACAGAAAATAAATAACAGATGAACTAGAGAGCCAGGATTACCTGAACTGGTATGATTTAAAAAATGGTAGGTATATATATGTAAATTGTGAATGTATTGTTAATGACCTTTTACTATAGAAATAAACTGACATTTAAGAAGAACATAGTTGCCAATAGCTAGGAATGAATGCAAACATTACTAATAAGATATGGCTAATATATGAATGATGTAAATGCATTGTTATGATTTTAATATAAGAATGTATTGAAAATAAGCAAGGTATTGCCAAAGGTCAGGAATTCATGCGAGTATTACTGGTTGAAAACAGCTATTATACGCTTATTGTAAATGTATTGCTAATGATTTTACTATAGGAATGCATTTAAAATAAGAAATAAAGGCATTGTCAAGGGTCAGGAATGCGTTGGACATAAGAAAGAAAAGTTTGTTTTTTTTCAGATTAAATATAGAATTTATTACTTTTTAAACCAACTACTTTCATGGCAATTGCTCCGAGTAGCTGCTTCGCTGGTTCCCAGACGTCATGAGTTCAAGCGCCCTACGAGGCTGGCATCCCGCTCTCATCCCTTCACTGTCGAAACTTCACTGTAGCCGTCTCTTCTACTCCAATAGCTTCATGTCTCGTACCTCTCGCCTGTGGAATTCCCTTCCCTATCCCAGTTTCCCTGTGAGCTATAATCTCCAGCTATTCAAGTGTAATGTCAATCGACATCTCCAGTTGCCTTGATCTATCCACTACCCTTCTCCTCATCCTTTCTTCTATCACTCCTATCTGATCTTGCTCCAAATTTTCTGTAACCCCTTGCGTCCTAGTGACTTCCCGCCTTGCTTGGGGTGAAATGCTTAAAAAAAAAACCAAAAAAAACCAAAAAAACCAAAAAACTACTTCGATTATATGAGTGTCGTTCTTAGAAAAAAGGTTAAAACCTTTAACATTTACACGTCAGAGTGAAACATAGAGAGCATTATTTCGGTGGACCCCGACACGATTGTGTCGATTGCTCCAGACGAAACTACGTTTTGTACGTATTAGTGTCTTAACACATAATATGCTCTAATTATGAACATCATAATTTCCATCTGAATTTCTAAGATGAGGAAAAATCATTATTTACATTCGTAATATCACCATTTTTTTTTTTGTTATTAACAGACCGTTTCGGTCGTTATGATCTCCGGCTTTTTCCCGATGCTTGACTATCAGGTAAACCACAGGGAAATTTCGTACTGAAACCCTTATTTAATAAACGGGGTTAGATTGGTGTTAGGCTATGAAGGCCTCCTCAGTAGGCATTGCATATAAATGAATATAGCATAGGAGCCATTAATAAATAGAAATGACAGCAAAGCTTCAGCAACAGCAGTAAAAAAAACCTTGTTTAATGCAGTCAAGCCAGACAAGCAGCAGTAGTAGTTTCACCAGCAGGCAGGTTAGGTTTAACTCTTATAATTTTAGATTCATGATTGTCTCGCATGATTACCGCGTTGGTTCGAGAATTTGGTGGCATAATAATAGTGATTTCAATCTCTGGGCCCGGTAGTGCATGTAGAATCAGGGAAAACAATAATTGGGCAGGATTAAGTAAGACAAAGACACGGTATGCCTAGACATGGACAGCGGGGCGGGAACAATTTATCCCTAAGCAGATGACACAATGCTGATAGCAGACACGTAAAGAAAACTATCAGCACTGTGTCATCTGCTTAGGGATAAATTGTTCCTGCCCTGCTGTCCATGTCTAGGCATACCGTGTCTTTATCTTACATAAAAAAAGAAAAAGATTAAATAAAAGGCTCAGTTCGAAATTTCCTGAAGCTTACCCTGATCGATAAGTACGCGGAGGAGATCGTATAGCGCACCGGTCAAAACGTTGTGATAATAACAACAAATATGAAGACAACAGTCCGAATATAAATAATCATCATAGACTGATAGTTATACCACAGTAACGTTATCGTTGTACATTTTAGTGGGGAGACGAAAATTTAATCTTTCATGCCTAACCTTCTGGACTTCGTCAATTACTGTCGACCAGGGAATATGTGAATTTAGGGGTTTCTCTACAAATTACTTTCTTCTCTTCCCTCCCAGGTGTTGTTGATATATTTACCTATTATCCAGTTTTTCGCAAGTGTGCGCATCCCCAGGCGCAGCTGGGTGGATCATGTGTTGACTGGCATAAGACGCGGATCCGTATCTGGCGGTTAGGAGGGTATCTCTCAAGTCAACCCACTGATGCACCTTGCTTCTTTAAAGTTTAAGCTTAACATTGAGTGCAAAGCCCATTTTAGCCTCAGCTTGGTGAGTAACATACAACACCACAATATCTCGTATTTGCGAGTAAAAATCTGTATTGACTTCTTAGTGAATGGAAAGTTGGAGATTCGTCAATGCTGAGAAATTTTATTTTACTGTTTTGAAAATCAGTATTTAAATTCCGCAAATTTCGTAATGGGGTTAATCAAACAACCGTTTCGCCCACTGAGTATCACGCGTCTAATATCACAAGTGCTCGACCCTCACAAGGAACAAACATAGACTTCAAATATACACGGATGCACTTGAAATTTTAGTGTGTGCATAATGTAAATAAAAGTACAGTTTTCAAGGTTTAATTGCAAAGAAACAAGAACAACTGGTGCAACAGATAGGATGGATTTATTTGCATTTGTGTTGACAGAGAGTAAGGCTATCCGGAAAGAAGTTTGGGTTGGTCGCTTTCAGGCTTAGATGCCAGAGAGATGAAAGAAATGCATCTGATGGGATTAGGTTCATTTAAGACACCCGACCCGGACACCCGCCATTCGTTCAGGAATTTCGTTGCGCCCCGTCGTTGGGGATGAGAGGTGGGGTCCGTAGTCGAGTGATAGGTCAAGAAAGAAGATAGGGTTGAAATAAAAAAAAAAAAAAAAAACGGGGAGAGGAATGGGTGCGCCTACGATGATTGGCACGCTCATTTCGCAAACCCATTCACAAGGAGGCGATCTTTGCTGTCTTCTCTAATATGCCAAACTAAGCTTAGTCAATATTAGCACCAACCGTAGCGCAATAATTTGCGAATTCGTTCCGCAGATCAATTTATTCGTGGGTCGAGTTCGCTTCTCACGCATGCAATTTGTCCCAATTTAATGATATTTGAGCTTTGAAATGTAAGCCTTTTGTCTATTTTTGTCATCTAATTGTGGCTTTTTCGGTCCTAGGTCCTTCCTAGACCAAATACCTTTCGATCATTTATCTTCAAGCTTGCTATAAAAAGCAAGACTAACGTAAAACATCTAATATTAGCCGTAATAATGTTTACTTAGTCGAGTGAGATATTTCATGCTAATGTCAAATCATAAGCCAAATATCTCATTAACACTATCATGATCAATGCAATTGTTTTTATTTGTTCCAGTAAAACATGCTTCATTAAGGAAATGATGTAAATGATTCCAAACTGTGTGTTTCAGAGACCTTCATTTTTCGGCAGGCAAATTTATCAGGTTTCATTCACGCACGTAATATCTTTTACTTTCCAACCTTTGTCAGTTTTCTGCGAATGCCAAGAAAGTTACTAACAATGGTAGCCATTCTTGATATTTTGATACCCTTGTTCATGGCTAGACTTTTGTTAAAGTTGAGTGCAGAGAAGGATATACAAGGTAAGTTTATGGAAGACGAAACATTTTCTAAAGTTTTAGTATATTTTGTTTTTGAAAATCTGAAAAAAAATCTAAACCTCATATATATGTACACGGTTTAGCCTAACCTGGGACAAATCCGAAAGTGGCTTATATAGGTGCCTACCGTAAGAAATTTTTTTTATCAAGCTCATCTTACAGAGCAATTCTCCATTTAGGTTTAATTCTCACTCGAATAACCACTACTACGTCCTAGCGCCAGCTAAAGCTAACGTTAGAAAAAAAAACTATAACACATATATAGCGCGCACAAACCCCTACCCCCATATATATATATATATATATATATATATATATATATATATATATGTACAATTAAAAATCAAAACTTCAGTAGACCAGTGTTGTCTATGAATCCGATTACTTGGATTATCTTTCTCTACAAAGGATAATAGCAATTCACACAACATATACATTTAACAAGTACATTATCGCGACGTTTAACCTGCCATTTATGTGATAACAACTGAATTAAATCGCATATCACCAAACAACTCAACGAACAAACACAACTTGAAATCCGACAAATCCACATTAATAGCACAAAGGTGTTATATTCCATAAACTGCAGAAAACGACAACGAATATCAGAAGCACAATGGAGAAGAACAAACGATCAACCATCTATAAAAATGTTAGCATAGAATTTACGGTTGAATCTAGCCAGCTCAACTGTAAATTGATGAGACCTCACTGCCAATCTAGTACTTCCCTTCAATTCATAAAATCTAGATACCGTAGCAGAGAACTCATCCGAACAATTAACATGAAAGTATTTATAAAAAAGGCACATCTAAGTTACATTTACAACGGTGGAAAAGTGACTGAAGGCGAGATGCCAGGTTAGGACCAATTATATTGCTGATTCATCTTTTCATTTTATCAAGAATATATAGCAGGCGCATATGCGGCAGCCATATTCAAAGCATGGACGAATCGTATACTTATAAATATGCAAAATAGATTCTGATGAGAAAAAATGTCTAGGATGGCACTTGCCTTCTTAAATTGCAAAACTTACGTTTTTGATAGAAAACATAAATATGAAATTTTTTGATGGGAGTAGAATTTTTTTTTTCTTGAATTCAGCATTTGACGATCAAAATGTCTGTCGAAGATCCGCTCACGTTTGAGTCACGTGATCGGCTTCGATTCTCACTTCGAATTATATCTTTTTTGGATTTATATTGGGGGATCTTTGCTTGTAGTTGTCTCAATCCTTTGATGACCTGTTGGCAAATCGATATTTCAACAAATTCTTATTGTGCAAACGGCATTGGAAACTTTTGCTAACATGCTTTTTCCCGCTCTTACATCAAATAACCAAATGTCTTCTGGCAGCGCTGTTCGACGCTAAACCAGTTTCATTACAGATCAATTGTGATAGCCAAGGCTGGGGTTCCAGTTAATCGTTACAATCCAAAATTGGGAATTACAAATTTTTGTACTGTTTAAGTAGACTTTTTATTTATCAATGATAGGGCAAGAAAATCGGGTCATTTTCTCTTCGTAAATGAGTTTCAATTGATTAGAACAGTGCTATATAAAATACTTTTTTTAAATACGTTATATACTTTTCTTGGTTCATTTTGAGACTAACTTGGCTTTTCAGGTGAGTCAAATTATTAGCATTACAATCAAAGTGAAGCCATTCAAAATGATCGTCAATATAAAACTGGATTAGGCATTACGGAATGTGAAACGAATCCTGACTTTTTTTTTGTCAGATCCTCCCAAAATTGGCGGTTAATGTGTGTGTAAGAGTGATATCACGAAGTTTGTGTAGTTCTGATTTAAGGTGAAATTTCATTTCCATATTACCAGGCTGAATCCAGTTAATAATAGGGCGGCCATTTGGGCTGTTTGATTTAAGAGAAACTACCGCCGAGGGGAAAATTACAGTCATTATACAACAGGGCGAAATGAATGCGTATTAATCTTTCTTTTGAACTTTCAAATAGCTCATCCAAAAGTAATATCCGCTAGATCTTTATACTGTTTGGAAAGTATGGAATTTACAATAACAAGACTGGTCAGCCAACAGGGAGAACGACTCTTACCTCTTGTCTAGAATAACACATTGTATCCCACTTGATCGTAGAATCTCAGGTCTTGTAGCCTTGCCACTGAAACATAGCAGTAGATATATCTGTATCTATCGAGTAATTTATAGATGTGGGGGACTGATTACCGGTTTTAAGAGTATTGGGTGTAAAAGACGGGGTTCGGTGCCTTGGTATAAGATCTTTTCTTTTTCTTATTGAAGAGTAGAACAACGAATTTCTCACATTTTGGAGATGAAACGCGTTCAGGTTTCACTTGTCACATTACAGCCCTGACCCACAACAGAACTGATTAATAACACTTTTTTTCGTAATCTGATAAACTTAGTGAGTGCTGAACGATCTCTTCAAAAATGAAGAGGAGACTTGAAGCAAGAGAAATGTGTTTCTACAGAAGGATGCTGAGGATACCGTGAATTGAACATGTGGGTAATGACGAATTTTTATATAAGATGGAAACAAAAAAGAAACTAATACTTAACATCAGGAAGAGACGGTTGACGTTTCTGGGCACATAATGAAGAAAGAGGGCTTGGAAAATCTGATACACACAGGACAGATTGAGGGCAAGAGGGACAGAGGAAAACAATGCATGACATAATGAGCTTGAATAAATAGATGGCAGAAAAGGTCCTGGGAGAAATAACAGAAAGACAAAGTTTATCAAGAACTACAAGGGTCAGGAAGTTGAGGAGAGCCATGATCACGTGCTAAAGAAGAAGAATATTTTGTGGCAAATGTGCAACAAATAACTTGAAACGATCGTAAAATAGTTAATTCTCAACTTCTGATGTATTAAAGAAAAGCCATACGCTTCATGATTTTAGAAACAAAGGAACAAGAACTCTCTCTCTCTCTCTCTCTCTCTCGCACATACACACATACACACACACACACACACACTAATTTCAGGAATAGGTACAAACTTATCTTTAAACGCATAGGCAAAAAAGCACATAGAGTAAGTCAATAGTTATCGTTTATAGACTTTCAATAGATTTAAATAAATTCCATTTCTACAATTTATAAACAAATCGTTATAATGTATTTGCCTGCACTGTTTTGGTATAAATAAATCACAATAAAATATAAAATAAAATAGAATAAAAGAATATAAAATATATAAAATATAAAATAAAAATATAAAATAAAATATAATAAAATAAAATATAAAATAAATCATAATGTTCTAATGTAATATAAAGAAAATTACTAAAAATATATCTTGTCAGCACCGTTGGGCTCATTCTTTACATACACATATTATTACTGTCTGTCTCTCTCTCTCTCTCTTACACACACACACACACACACACACACACACACACACACACACACACACACACACATATATATATATATATATATATATATATATATATATATATACGTGGATAAGAAATCCAAGTGAATCCTATTAATATAAAATATTGAAACTGATCCAAAAAAGAGAGCTCAATATATGTATTACAAAGCATAGAAATGAATTACATAAAAATGAAACTCAATTTTACCCCATTTATATGGCCATTTCGCTCCTAGAGAGATAAATTTCCTGGAGCTTGTCAATACTAAAACGTTTAACAAAAAAAAAGCTCCAGAGAATTTCTCTCTCTTGGAGCGAAATGGACATATAAATGGGGTAAAATTGAGTTTTATTATTATGAAATTTATATATATATATATATATATATATATATATATTGATATTGGATATGCGGTTGGTATAATGGACAGCAAAAATCGAAGAGCTAAGTTCGAAATCCAATCGGGTTCGTTACATGCACTTACGCGTAAATACACGTGAGAAAGATATAAATCCGTCTCAAACTATGGGTGCAAAATATGTTTCAGTTCTAAATAATCCTAAATAATCCTAAATAACCCACAAAGGTCGATAAGCCATAATATATTTCAGCTAATTTCAAATCCAGCAGACGTTCACGGCTTCAATACAAGAAGAAAAAAACTTTCTGGCCGCAGCATCAGATAAGGATATTTTTCCTCATATTTCAACACACTTTTCTTCGACAAGGGTTTGTCTCTCATTCCTGCTTGAAGACGCCTACTATAAAGACGAGAAATGCGTAGTCTGACTGCCTTTTCCATTTTGTCTCATTGTCTCTAATTTTCGTCGGATATTATTCCACATCCTCTACTAAAACACACACACATATATTTTATTATTATAAACGTTATTTTAGTGGGTAC